TCAAATGACCCTTCTCACCGCAGTTGAAGCACTCTCTGCTCTTATAGTCGGTTGCTATGAAGGCTGGATGAGATGGAGTCGTTGTATTGTTCTTCATCAACTTTAATCGGACCTCCTCCTGTGCCATTGCTGCTATGGCATCCTCTAAGGCAGGTAGAGTAGGTTGATGAAATAAAGTAGCACGTCTCGCCTCAAATTCAGAGTTCAATCCTTTGAGAAACTGCATCACTCGTCTACGTTCAATCCATTTTCTAGTAGCTGCTATGCAATCTGCATGTGGCAAATCCAGAGGATCATAGTGATCTAAATCATCCCACAAACGCTGCAGTTCAACAACATACTCCATCACAGAATTTTCCCCTTGTCTGAGTTCACCAACTCTCTCCTCTGTTTCAGCTATTAACATCACATTCCCTTCACCTGAGTACAGTTTTGAGAGGGTTTTCCATGCCTCAGTAGCAGTTGAGATAGTCTCAACAGTTGCAGCAATGGTTGGAGACAAGGAGTTCAACAACCATGCCACTATCAAAGAGTTGGTACTGCTCCATGTCCTCCATTCTGAAGTTTTCTTGTCTCCTGGCTCCTCTGCCTCACCACTGACAAAGCCCTCAAGCCCTTTAGTCCTCAAGATGAGTAGCGCCCTTCTTGACCAGCTCAAATAATTCGTAACACCTTCCAGCTTAATTTCATTTGGCATCAAGTCAATTTTCTGAATTGGCTCAATGTGAGGAACAATTGCATTATTTAGAGATGCTGCAGCTCCTATCTTGGCTGTTAGGAGCTCAGCCAATTTTTCAATTGCCTTCTCAAGTCCCTGATTTTCTCCCATGTCTTGCCTCAATCACAGCAGGCAAGAACTTTCCTTCTTCCTCAGTACGCTATCTAGCAGCCCCTCACACAGCAGCACCAAATCAATCCAGGAGCTCTTACCTCCTCTTCTCTGCTAACTCCACTGTAGTACACCACCAGCAGCAACAGAGTCAGCAGCAGCACTTGCAAGCAGCAACAACAGCATCTTCCTCCTTCTCCTCTGCAAACAACAGCAGTTCCAGCACACAGCAGCCACAAGCAGCAGCAGTGCAAAGAGCACCCTCTGCCGCACCAACAATAAGCAGCAGCAACTGTAGACTGTTCTCAGTCTTTCTCCAGCACCAGCAAGCCAGCCGCACAAGCAGCAAACCAGCCAGTACTTGGCCTCTCCCCTGGCGCAGCCGCCTCCTTCCTCTGCCTTCTGCCACACACAGTAGCACCCGCAGCACCAGGAGCACTTCGCACGTGCGCACCTCTTCACGGGAGAGAGCAGTGCCGCCTGTAGCCTCCAATCCCCTCCAGGCGCTCCGCAGGCAGCCCGCGCGCTCGCACGCAGCCGCGCCCACCGGCCCTCTCCAGGCGCGCATCTACCGCCGCCGGTCCCGCCTCCAGTGCCCCGCACAGCACACGCGCGCCAACAACCACCCTGGATGCCCGGAGCTCCGCCCCACGCTGCCGATTCACCGCCGGCGACCTATAGAACCCAACATCGCCTCCCGCCTGTGCTCTGACACCATGAAGTGTGGTGGGTTTGGGAAATTTCTGGATAACTCTCTTCCTCTCTAGTCTGTACAATACATATACTGGTTTACATGGGCCATGTGGGCCATATTCACACATATACAACCCAACATTATATAACCTAGTGAATTGAATTCGGTAACTCTTTTTGCACACTGTTCTATTGCCTTCCAACTTATATTTGCACAATTGCAGTTTTCTCCTCCAAACAATTCTTTCCACCATCTGACTGCCTACAATTGGTTATATAATTGGTACTACCTCTGTCCCCAAATGCAAGTTAGCATACGCTCCGGCCACACAACCAACCATCGGCCCGCTAATTAGCCTGAACCATCTGCTACCATGCACGCAGTTGGACCGGATGGAGAATCCACAGTTAGTGGAAAGTAGTAAGGGAGATAGAGCTGCGGGGTGGAGATGAATCGCGTGGCTGTAGTAATGGAAATTAAATCTGTTACTATATTCACTAGTGTTTTTACCTTCATTTACTAAAGCGTGGGTGGAAAATCCTTGTTACGAGTTAATGGAATGTAGTGATGGATCCTATGCATTGCGCCCCTCCGCAGAAATCTAGTCAATTAGAAAAAATTGTGTGTAGTATGATTTAATGAACGTAGTAACAGAGTGAAGGGAACATCATAATGTACCAATGTCTATTACCATCATGACTCATGTGGCCGCAGTAATGGAAATTAAATCTGTTACTATATTCACTAGTGTTTTCACTTTCATTTGCTAAAGCATGTGCTGAAAAAGGATCATGTTCATTGTGCCTCCGCATAAATCTAAGCTATGCACGATTAGGAAAATTTGCATGCAGTGATGAGTTAATGGAACATAAGTAACATAGTGAAGGGAACGTAGTAATGCGGTGATGTCTATTACCATCACTATTCTTTTTTACGAGGTCAAATACTGATCTTTGTTTTTTATTTACTTATTATTAAGATGCACTATACATGGTAATGCTACTTCCAATATGCGATAAACTAATTACTAGTTCATCTATTATTATTTTTACGATTAGAGGATCCAGTGGTGGTGTGTGACAGCCTTTTAATTCCGTTACCATATATGATAGTACTTCTACCATGGTTAGTGGTAGGAGGTGTGGGTCTTAGTACGACGAGTACAATCTACCATATATGCTATTTTTTTACTGACATCAATTAGCTAACAGAGTTGCAGAACGAAGGTGAGGCGCAGGGAGCAGTAATGGAAATTAAATTCGTTACGATATTTGCTACTTGCTTTTACCCTCATTTTCTCGGATGTGTGGCTGGCCCTGCTGAGTGGCGCACCAAGCGGGTAACTAGCGACCGGCACGTACGCTTAGTTTTGCGTGCTTGCTTAGTTTAGCGTCACCGTGTATGCTTAATAAACAATATCAAATCAGTATCAATATATCCATCATTAGATATATTTTCATAATCTATTTGTTTAATACTGTAGTTGTTGATATTTTCTTCTATATATTTGGTCAAACTCAGAAAGAATTGACTTTTTGGCTAGATTTATACGCCATGTATATGGGGAAGGAGGGAGTACATTGTATATGCAGTAGATCTATGTTAGTGATATATTGCCTTATACAACAGCTTGTATGTCATGTAGGTTCCCCATGCGGAGGTCTTTCAACATGTTTCATCTGTCCTCGAGGACTATGGATTTTGCCCTACTGGAGATCCCATGGACACTATAAACCTGTACTACTCTTTGTATTGCTTCACACAATAATTTTCTAAGTGAATAAATGGTTTTTTGCTGATTATTTAATTTTGTCTTCCACTTGTTGCAGCCAGCCTTATAACTGCAGAAAGTCAAACGGAGAGTCATGCAAAGGTGTGTGGGGCTCAAGTGATTCTTTTTACATTTGACAAACTGAGTCTTAATCTCTTCCCTTATTTTTAAAATGGATAATAGGGCTTACAGATGCAAACATGGCAGTTATGGAATCGGCCAATCTGGATGCTGCAGACGATAAGGTAAAGATAATCACATCTAGGGTTGATCTAGTTTTGGATAGACTGATGGTGTTTGGTAACGAGTAATGATATTGTGGCTGCAAAAAGAAAGAAAGCTATAAGAATATGTTCCCTTTCCTGGTTTATTTTATTTTATTTCACATCAACTTTTTCTAAGAATATGTAAAGAAGTAAACATTTCCCAAATTGACAGATCCCATGAACACTTCCAGATACATAATAGAATCTTTGTTTTAAGGCACGTTTTCTTGACTTCTGACTGTACTCGTCTTGCCCTAATCTCGAGTCCAGGTCACAACTGTTGGAAATGACGACCTCGCCCTTATGGCACGGCAGCACACTACACAAACACAGGTAATCCATTATAACTTAATACTGATTTTGGTGCAGCAGTACCAAGCAGCTTTGCCTACACCTTGTGGCAGCACAAATGGGTTACTAACTATTCCCTCTGTCCCATAATATAAGAACGTTTTTGGCACTACACTAGTGTCAAAAACGTTCTTATATTATGGGACGGAGGAGTAGAGCACAAAGTGATGGGTTTGATGCTGCAAAGCTGGGCAGCTTTGTAGTAGCGATTTCAGCCATATTTATAGAGTACAAGTATTCGTGTGCTTCCAGTGCTTATTAGATGACCTAAAAGAACATCTAAATTCTAGCCTAGAGTACCTAGTGTATGTTCACACACACATGTATAGAAACTAAATTCTAGCTTTGAGTTGCCTCCAAATACATATCACCTATTGCAATGCCATGGCATTCCAACTACGGTTCATCTGTGCCATCCTAATGTGTTTCCATCGGTTCTTTTTACCAAAGATAAAGGGTAAATGCAATAAAAGTAGGCTTAATTAACTTAATAACATAGTTGTACCGTGTAGGTTCCAAGTAACATCAACATGGGGATTTCACCAAGGGAGCTTGAGCATTATTATTTTTTCCAACACCTTACTGTTCTTGAATGATTCGTTACATCTGAAATTTATTTGGTGCCAGTGAGAAAGATTCTGATAGAAGAAGATGCAGTGTAACACTCCCTATTTCAGTGCTAGAGACATCCGTTTGAGTGACAATTAATATTGGGATGGAGGGAGTATAATTGTTGGAGGCAATAACAAAAGCATGTTTCACTTGCAATGTTTGTGCCATGGTACTGGTTCAACAGCCTTTTATGTTGCTTAAGCATGCTACTTAATTACTACACTGCAGTTACATCATTCATATCTAATGAAACACCTATGTTGTGTATTGATCAACATAATACATTAAGCGAGAGGTGCTGGCTGGAAGTATGGGTGTTTCTATTTTTATGTACCTATAATGGAATATTTGACAGGCTGTGAGGAAGAAAGTAGGCGGAGGATGGGATCCCGCATATACAAAGAGAAGTTTTTTCCCATATTGGAGATCAGTGTTACAAGCTCGGTTTCCTTTGAAGGTGTATCCAGCCTATGCAAGCTCAGATCGTATGGCTGGGCTTCGTGGACAACTCCATGTCTCTCTGAGTAACAAAATGGCCCATGGGCCTACTCCTACTCCAAATCATAAACTTGGTCCAATGCGGAGAATCTCGCCACTTACAAGCAATAATCAACCCAGAAGGTGTTTTGTCACTGCTGCTACTAGTGCATTCAGGCTCTTGAAGGTGCTAAAGTAGGAGTAGAAAGGTATGTCAGGAGTTTGTCTCCCTCCAAATTTTCTGAAAACGCACCACATAAACACATGGGAAGAAAGATTTTTCGTGATGCACCTTTTAACTACCCCCTCTGTAAAGAAATATAAGAGTGTTTAGATTCTTTACAGAGGGAGTAGTTAAGATTATTCGTTGATAGTTCATTAAGGATTTGGTTATTTGCTTGATAGGGTTAGGTATTCTATTATTGTGTCTTTCCCCTCACTGTTGTAAGTTTGTAGTCTCCAGGTTCTTCTACTTCAAGGGCTACACCAAGCTTGGGTATGTTTGCTTGCTTAGCAATGAGCAACCCTGCTGTTATTTATTTCCCCAACTGGTCCATGTGCAGATAATTCAGATGACAGTGACATCTAAATCCTTGTGGGGAAGCTATAGAGATCCACATGATTTCTTCTATGTTTTTGTTTTCTTAGAGAATTCTCAGCCCTGAGAAATATACAACACATTTGTTCCTAGTTAATGTCATGGGTAGTTAGTCAGTGCTCAACATGGTGCTGCTCCATTAACTAAACATGTTAAAGCTGCAGTCTTAATGAGCGGCCTCTATTGATGCTCACCGACATGGAATTTTTTTACGATCTTTTTTTTGTCATGGAGTTATTAGTCTTGTAGTGCTTCTTCAATCTCCTGCACACATAAAGATGCCCTTGTCTTCAATTATTGATCTAACAACCCACTACTACTTGCATGCACATCCTTGGTTAACACCTTGGTTGGTAGGTGGGATTCGTTCATGTTGCATCATAGTAGATAATTGGATGTGGAGATGCAATCGTACCTTAAGCTTACTTCTATTTCTAGTTGATCGCCAAAGGAAAGCTGGTGATCTCTGGATTGAGTGGGAAAAATAACTGACCTGAACTAAATTTCTGGCCTGTGGTGCCAAACAATGCGTCAATGTGTCTTAATCTGCATTGGCATGGGAGAATTTCATTTCCTTTTTTTCCATGTCATTTTCATTATTTACTACCAAAGTGATTCTGATTTTGTCGACTTCCTTCCATTCTGGGAACACTGCAGGAGGCTCAACTTCTTCGCGATAATTGGCTAATACTCTAAATGATGCCTGACTTGATAGCTGCTGTGACTTGCCTGTCAAATGTGTGTAATTCTGAACTACTCTCGTCATGTAGTAAGACTGCATGGAGATGGTTTGTAACATCGAGGTTTAGGTTTTGAGTCATCAACTACTTTGAATGATTTTTAACGTTAATGTTGTATGCATTTGTCTGGTTCCATCAGTGATTTTTAACGTTAATGCTATTTAAAACCATGGATGCACCCAGCGGACTTGTTTCTACAGTCGGTGACGCTTAGGGGTGACTGGAAGATCATGTGCACTCTTTCCGAGGTCGCTGGTGCTCCACTGCCTTATAAACCCGGCCTCTTCCTCAAGAGATGCAGGCAACCATCTTTATTATATTATTCAACAAATTCCTCACAAAATAAATACGTGAATCAATCCAAGGCCATCTTTCTATCGCCATGATGTGTCCTAACCTTGCGTCAACACACACAAGTTTGGTGGCCTTACCAAACTGCCCGCAAGCTAGCCAAGAGCTGGTCCTCTATCATCGTCATCTTTAGGAGTGATCAATGCATTGAGCTTGCTAGACCCATCTACCGTCGACTCCACCATGATGATAGACAACGCTACCCTCCTGAGTGGGTCATCAACACACGTTCACCACTAAGACCCCACTGCCCCATGCCACCAAGACACGTTGCTGTCAATGCTGAAGATGCAACACCGCTCCATCTCTTGTTGTTATGATGATGCCGACATTATGGTCCATGACCAAAGCCAACACGGTTTTCACTGGAAGTCATTGCACTCTGATATCATCGCTAACTGGATCCACATGCAGCCTTGCCATGTAGACGTACGGCAGCAGAAACGCTGGTACAGAGCCTCCAGCCACCCCACACGAGTCCCATCATGTTTCGTCGGCCGGTCGAAGCCATGCCGCGACGGATCTAACTGGGACACCAGACCCACGGCCAGCGTCACCGCCCATCACGCAACAGGGTAGCCCACCGGATCATCCCGCCATTCACGGGGTCGCCGGCTACCACCGCACAACCAAGGCCACCACCCTGACCACCGCTTAAAGCCACCCCGCACAAGCCGCCTCAACCACCTCGTGGGGAAGCCACCACAGTCATCCCCCGGCTCGTGCCTCCTGCTTCACCAATGCCGTACCGGTGCTACTGATGGGCCCTTGTCGGGCGAATGTCCGGCGCTAGGAGGCGGGTACGGCATGAGGAAGAGAGAAGGACGAGGAGTGCGGGCACAACAAGGGTATGGCGCGACTCGAGGCGTACATCAAAGGGACGCGCGATCGGGCCCTCCTATTCAAGGCCGCCGTGGGCGACGAGCTCCTCTTCTTCAAGGTACCTTTTGACCTTGCCGATGTTGTTTGTGTTTCTCCTCGTAGGCCATCACTTGCAGACATGCCTTGTTGCGTGTGGCAGGGCCTCTCATTGAGCCTGAGCGGGAGGACAACACTGGATCCGCCAAGGAGCGTGCTCCCGGAGAGGGTGATTGATTATACAGTTGGTTGACATAGTGAAGGGGCCATCCACCCCCAACAAACTTTTTTTTGCGGAGACTACCAACAAACATTGACCACCTCGAGAAGGATCTGCCCTGGAAAGACTTCAATAGCCAAAAAGAAGTTGGTTAAAACTAGTCGAGTATAATTGTAGACAGATTGTGACTATTATGTTGTTTGTTACTGATGACCCACAAGTATAGGGGACCAATCATAGTCCTTTTGATAAGTAAGAGTGTCGAACCCAACGAGGAGCCGAAGGAAATGACAAGCGGTTTTCAGCAAGGTAATGTCTGCAAGCACTGGAATTATAAATAACGAGTAGTTTGATAGCAAGATAATTTGTAACGAGCAAGTAATAGTAATGGTAACAAAAGTGCAGCAAGGTAGCCCAATCCTTTTGAGGCAAAGGACAGGCCAAAACAGTCTCTTATGATAAGCAAAGTGTTCTTGAGGGCACACGGGAATTTCATCTAGTCCCTTTCATCATGTTGGTTTGATTTGTGTTCGCTACTTTGATAATTTGATATGTGGGTGGACCGGTGCTTAGGTGTTGTTCTTACTTGTGTTGGGGAACGTAGTAATTTTCAAAATTTTCCTATGCACACGCAAGATCATGGTGATGCATAGCAACGAGAGGGGAGAGTGTTGTCCACGTACCCTCATAGACCAAAAGCGGAAGCGTTAGCACAACGCGGTTGATGTAGTCGTACGTCTTCACGATCCGACCGATCAAGTACCGAACGCACGGCACCTTCGAGTTCAGCACACGTTCAGCCCGATGACATCCCTCGAACTCCGATCCAGCCGAGTGTTGAGGGAGAGTTTCGTCAGCACGACGGCGTGGTGACGATGATGATGTTCTACTGACGCAGGGCTTCGCCTAAGCACCACTACAGTATTATTGAGGTGTACTATGGTGGAGGGGGGCATCGCACACGGCTAAAAGATCAAATCAATTGTTGTGTCTTTGGGGTGCCCCCTGCCCCCGTATATAAAGGAGCAAGGGGGGTGCGGCCGGCCAGGAGAGAGGGCGCGCCAGGAGGAGTCCTACTCCCACCGGGAGTAGGACTCCTTCCCTTTCCTAGTTGGAATAGGAGTGGAGGGGGGAAAGAGGTGGAGGAGAAGAAGGAAAGGGGGGGGGCGCCCCCTCTCCTTGTCCTATTCGGACTAGGGGGGAGGGGCGCGCGGCCCTTGCCCTGGCCGCCTCTCCTCTCTTCCACTAAGGCCCACTATGGCCCATTAACCTCCCGGGGGGTTCTGGTAACCTCCCGGTACTCTGGTAAAATCCCGATTTCACCCGGAACACTTCCGATATCCAAACATAGGCTTCCAATATATCAATCTTCATGTCTCGACCATTTTGAGACTCCTCGTCATGTCCCTGATCACATCCGGGACTCCGAACAACCTTCGTTACATCAAAACATATAAACTCATAATATAACTGTCATCGAAACGTTAAGCGTGCGGACCCTACGGGTTCAAGAACCATGTAGACATGACCGAGACACGTCTCCGGTCAATAACCAATAGCGGAACCTGGATGCTCATATTGGCTCCCACATATCCTACGAAGATCTTTATCGGTCAGACCGCATAACAACATACGTTGTTCCCTTTGTCATCGGTATGTTACTTGCCTGAGATTCGATCGTCGGTATCTTAATACCTAGTTCAATCTCGTTACCGGCAAGTCTCTTTACTCGTTCCGTAATACATCATTCCGCAACTAAGTCATTAGTTGCAATGCTTGCAAGGCTTAAGTGATGTGCATTACCGAGAGGGCCCAACGATACCTCTCTGACAATCGGAGTGACAAATCCTAATCTCGAAATACGCCAACCCAACAAGTACCTTCGGAGACACCTGTAGTGCACCTTTATAATCACCTAGTTATGTTGTGAAGTTTGGTAGCACACAAAGTGTTCCTCCGGTAAACGGGAGTTGCATAATCTCATAGTCATAGGAACATGTATAAGTCATGAAGAAAGCAATAGCAACATACTAAACGATCGGGTGCTAAGCTAACGGAATGGGTCAAGTCAATCACATCATTCTCCTAATGATGTGATCCCGTTAATCAAATGAAAACCCATGTCAATGGCTAGGAAACTTAACCATCTTTGATCAACGAGCTAGTCAAGTAGAGGCATACTAGTGACATACTGTTTGTCTATGTATTCACACATGTATTATGTTTCCGGTTAATACAATTCTAGCATGAATAATAAACATTTATCATGATATAAGGAAATAAATAATAACTTTATTATTGCCTCTAGGGCATATTTCCTTCAGTCTCCCACTTGCACTAGAGTCAATAATCTAGATTACACAGTAATGATCCTAACACCCATGGAGCCTTGGTGCTGATCATGTTTTGCTCGTGGAAGAGCCTTAGTCAAT